GCGAGAGCACGTGCCCTATAGCAAAATCCTCTCCAAAAAAAAAAAGAAAAAGAAAAGAAAAAATCTATATATATGGGCATATTCCTTCAATATTTCTTCTGTTACCTGTTTCTTGCCTCTCTTTCTGCGGACTCCAATCACATATGTAAGGCCATGATATTATTCCTTAGGCTGCAGAGGCACTGTGCACATTTTCAGACATTTTTTCCCCCCTCTCTGTGCTTTATTTGGATAGATCTTATTCTGTCTTCAAATTCTCTGGTCTTTTCTGCTGCAATATCTAATCTTTGTAAGCCCTTCCAGTCAAATTTTCCTTTCTGGGCTAGTCCTGTGACTTAGTGGTTATGGGAGTGGATCACACATGGCCTACCCCACGGTTCTTAAGGAGCACACCAGGGGTGTGTGCCTGTGTGCCCCAAATCCCAACAGGGTGGAGAAATGTAGAAGGGATTGTGGCGTGCCCAGGCCCATTGTTTTCCTCTGGCACATTAAACAATAAAATTAAAAAATAAAAAAAGTTTACAAATTTTCCTTTCTGATTTTTTTAAAAGGCTTTTGTCATAGAGCACAAGCACTCATAGGAGAGGAGAGAGACAGTGAGAGAGAAAGTGAGAAATCACCCTCCCAGGGGGATGGCCATGCTGCAATACCTTCTCCTCCATTATTCTGGGGTTGTGGGCATGCACACATGCACCCAGCATGATTTTCAAGCTGCCAGGTCCAGGACTCTAACTGTGGTCTGCCATATGGGAGTCCAGAACCTTAACCACCACACCACCTGCTGGCCCCAAGGTTATTTTAATATCTCTAGAAGTTCCATCACTTCTCTTTTATATCTTCCATTCTCTCTCAATTTTCTTTTTTGCATCCTTGAGCATTCTAATATGTATATGTGTATTTCAGTTGTGTGTGCTTCTTAAAATTTTTTAAATAATTATTTTCTTTTTTATTTATTCATTTGTTGATTTTTTTAATTTGACCAGAGAGAGACAGCGGGTGAGAGTGAGAGAGAGAGGAAGTGAGAAAGCAAGCCACCAGGTCCAGGACTTGAACCCTGGTCAGCCACGTGGGAGTGTCCAGCGCCTTAACCACCACGCCACCAGCTGGTCCCGTTTTTTAAAATTTTTAATGAAAGAGAGAAAGAGGAAGAGGTGGAGGAGGGAAGGAGAGAGGTGTTTTTGACAGGGTCTTATGTGCAGTGCTCTGCCCCAGCCTCTCAGCCAGCTAGGATTACAGGTGCACACTGCCATGCCAGGCCTGTTCACGTTGATCCAGGATCCAAACCCAGGCCTCCCACATGACCCTAATTGGGTGGGTGGCATGCTGCTATTTGTGCCATTGTGGCTAGGCCTGCGAATATAATTATAATATTTATTTATTTATTTATTTATTTATTTTGGTCAAAGGGCACATACAGGGAACCAGCAGTTAGCGTAATGGCTATGTCGCTGGACTAAAATTCACGTCGGGCGCGTGTGCGTGTGTGCCCAAGATCCCAAGAGGAGAATGGAGAAGGGATTGCGGCGTGACCATCCCCCCTGGGTGGTGATTTCTCGCTTTCTGTCTCTATGTCTCTCTCTGTCTGTCTGCGAGCGCACGCGCCCTACAGTGAAAAACCTCTCCAAAAAAAAAAAAAGAAAGGGCACGTACACACCCAGAGAAAGACAGAAAGAGAGGAAAAGGGAGACAGCAACCCCCCACCCCCACCCTGCTCAACTGGAATGAGTTTATGCCGTAATTGCCTCCCACTTCTCCATCCTTTCGGGATTGGGACCATGCATGCACAATGACTGACATGTTTCTCAAACTGCTGAGTCGGATTTGAACTGCACAGTCAGCCATGTGGGATCCAGCTTCCTTAACACCAGGCTGGCTCTAAAATAGCTTTTCTTTTATTTAAAAGATTTTTGCTATAGGGCACATGTACTTACCAGAGAGACAGAAAGCAAGAAATCACCCCCTGGGGGGTGGGCGGGGAATGGCCATGCCACAATCTCTTCTCCTCCATTCTCCTCTTGGGATTTTGGGCATGCACACACATGTGCTTGGCTTGAGTTTTAAGTCACTGGGTCTGGGATTCAAACTGCGGTCTACTACATGGGAGTCCAACAACATAACTATTATGCCATCTGCTGGTCCCCACAACAGTTACTTTAATGTCTTTGTGTGCTAATTCCATTTCCTCTGTCAATTGTGGGTGTTTCGATTGTGTAGTTTTCCTCTTGGTTATAGGTCACATTTTCCTGCACCTTTTTATATCTGGTCATTTTTTATTAGACGGGAGACATTATGAATTTCATGTTGTTTACATTGTTGAATAAGTTTTCTTTTAAAGAGTCCTAGACATTTTTTTTTTTGAGAGGTTTTTACTATAGGGCGTGTGCACTCGCCAGAAAGACAGAGAGAGACAGAGACAGAAAATGAGAAATCACCCCCCAGGGGGGATGGCCATGCCGCAGTCCCTTCTCCTCCATTCTCCTCTTGGGATCTTCGGCACGCACGCACACGTGCCCGGCGTGAGTTTCAGCCCCCGGGGTCTGGGACTCGAACCGCAGTCGACTACATGGGAGTTCAGCGACATAGCCATTGCTAACTGCTGGTCCCAAGAATCCTAGACTTTTTAAAACAGTGTTTTAGGGCCAGCAGATGGCGTAGTGGTTACATCACTAGACTTCCACATGTCTGACCACAGTTGGAGTCCTGGACCCAGTGGCTTGAATATCATGCTAGGCACATGTAGGTGCGTGCCCAAGATCCTGGGAGGAGAATGGAGGAGAAAGGATTGTGGCATGGCCACTCGCCCTGGGCGGTGATTTCTCACTTTCCTCTCATTGTCTCTATCTCTCTGTCTCTATCTGGCAAGCGCACGTGCTCTAAGGCAAAAACCTCTTTGCAAAGAAAGATGTTTTAAAGTTGCTGGAGGATGTGTGTGCATTTGTCAGAGACAGAGAGGGAGAAGGGGCCCTCAGTGGGACATGGTCACACTGCAGTCCCTTCTCCATTTTTTCATCCTGTTGGGATTTTGGGTACACATGTATACACACCTGTCATGCTTTTCAAGCCTTTGGAGCCAGGATTTAAACCACGTGGTTGGTCATATGGGCTCTGGCTACCTTAACCACCAGGCCATGGAGACCAGCAGTCTTAGACTTTCTGGAAGGCAGTTAAGTTACTTGTGAGGTATATTTAATCCTCTCAGGCCTGTTTTTTTGTTTTTGTTTGTTTGGTTTTTGAGGTTTTTTTGTTGTTGTTGTTGTGTTTTTTTTGAGAGGTTTTTGCTATAGGGCGTGTGCACTCTCCAGACACACAGAGAGATAGAAAGTGAGAAATCATCCCCCAGGGGGGATGGCCACACCGCAATCCCTCCTCCATCCTCTTGGGATCTTGGGCACACACGCACCCGCGCCTGGCGTGAGTCTTAAGTCACTGGGTCTGGGACTCGAACTGCCGTCGACTGCGTGGGAGTCCAGCGACATAGCCATTATGCTAACTGCTGGTCCCTTTTGGAGAGGTTTTTGCTATAGGGTGCTTGTGCTCGTCAGAAAGACAGAGTGAGACAAAGAGACAGAAAGCAAGAAATCACCCCTCGGGGGGATGGCCACGTCACAATCCCTTTTCCATTCTCCTCTCAGGATCTTGGGCTTGCATGCACATGCCTGGTGCGAGTTTAAGCCACCGGGTTCGGGACTTGAACCATGGCCGGCTACATGGGAGTCCAGTGACATACCCATTACGCTAACTGCTGGTCCCCTCAGGCCTGTTTTTAAGCTTTTCCAGGACAGACATAGTGTGGCCTTCATTCTAGGGCTAACTTAACCCTACTTCTAACGTGCTACACTTTGGGGTCTCAACTAAGTGTCTCATGTATTCAGTGAGGTCTTTGTTCTGGCTAGGGGAGCTCATAAGATTCCTAGCTCTGTCTGGATTCTGGGAGTTGTTCTCTCCTTGAAAGTTTTTCCTGGCTAGCTCCCTAGTTTCATCTCATGCATGCACAGATGGGCATTCAGCCAGATTCAGGGGGGACTCCAGCTTTCCAGACCCTTCTCTGTCTGTGCAGCTCCCTCTCTTGGGTGTTCTGTTCCACGAACGCCAGTCATGTTGGTCTCTGATCGCCAGCCTCTGTCTGCAGCTTAGCAGGACTGCGGGACTGTGGGTTTCCCTGCCTGGCACTGCTGTCTGAACTGAATCCAGCTGGCCAGCCTGGACGAGGCCCACTTCGTTTCTCTTTTCCCAGGGGTCACAGGACTGCAGTGCCTGTCATCCTATGTCCTTTAGCTGGTCCCGTTTTCCTTTTCTCTTTTTAGAAAGGTTTTTGCTATAGGGCACGTACACTCACCAGAAAGACAGAAACAGAGAGACAGAAAGCGAGAAATCACCCCCAGGGGGAATGGCCACGTCACAATCCCTTTTCCATTCTCCCCTCAGGGTCTTGGGCACATACGCACACATACATGCCCAGTGTGAATTTAAGCCACCAGGTCCAGCACTTGAACCGTGGTCAGCTACATGGGAGTCCAGTGACATAGCCATTACGCCAACTGCTGGTCCCAACCTGTCCAGTTTTCTAGTTGTTCATGGTGGGAAGTGTTTTCAGACCATCTTGCCCTCTCATACCTGGAAGTGGAAGTTTCTAGAAGCAGTATTTTTTTTAATATCCTTTTTTTAGTTTATTTATTCATTTCTTCTGTGTAAGAGAGAGCCCTTGCCTGAGCCATCTAGGATCACAGACATGTGAGGACAGGGAGACCTTGGGACATGAACCCAGGACCCTCCTACATAGCCCCAGCATCACCGAGTGACAGGGATGATGCGCTGTGTCACTGTGGCTGCCCTGGAAATAGAATTTAAACCCAGGGAGTCTGGTTCCAGAATCTACGATCCAAGCCTCCCCAGCAGTCTGCGGTCACTGAGCCATCTGGATGGGAGTCACCGGGCGGGGGAGATGGGGGCAGGGTTGCAGGGGCGGCTCCAGCCTGTGGCTCACCCCTCCTGCCCCTCAGGTGGGCTTTCACCTTGATCATCATCTCCTCCTACACGGCCAACCTGGCCGCCTTCCTCACGGTGCAGCGCATGGAGGTGCCCGTAGAATCCGCCGACGACCTGGCAGATCAGACCAACATCGAGTACGGCACCATCCACGCCGGCTCCACCATGACCTTCTTCCAGGTGGGGCCGCCAGGACCTCCCAGGCTTGGGGTTGGGATCCCAGACATGCACAGCAGCTCCGGTGGGCTGGGTGGGGCCTCCTGGGTCCGAGGGCTGATTGTGGGTGATGGCAGAGAGTCAGTCTAGGAGCAGAAGACACAGCCGTGCTCTCGTGGAGAATGGCGTCGTCTGGCCGGGGAACAGGACTGTCACCTGAGTGGAATCTGATGTCATATCAGTACCATACAGGTCAAATGGGGTCAACAAAGCTGCTGGAAAGACTGAACATAGAAAAATGGGCCAGAAGAGAGGAGGGGAAACCCCTCAAGGTGAAAGGGGCTGATCCCTGTGTATTTGAGGGTGGGGGGCGGGGGGAGGAAAGGAAGCGAGCCTGGCGAGGAGGTCAGGGGCGACGAGCCCTCCAATGCCAAGATGTGGCACTGAGACGAGCGTGTACGTGGGGAGGCAGGAGCGGTCACTGAGCAGAGGGGGCCGTTTAGAGCTGGAAGGTCCTTCTGGGGCCCGTTCAGGGGTAGACCAGTGGTCTGGAGGAGGCCGGGGCTGGCTGAGGGCCAAGGGAGAAGAGGGGGTGAACCCCCAGGTCTGCCAGGCGGGAGACAGCAGAGTAGGTCTGGGAGGTCACAGAGCCACGTGGGGACGACGTAGCCTGGCCTGGACAGTCTGCCCGTCCTGTGTCCGCTCTGTCCTCAGCTCTGTCTTCCTCTAGTCCCACTGCTTTTTGGGTTGAGGGACACTTCCTAGAGGGCAGGGGACAGGGCTCAGGAAAGGAAGAAGGGTGGGAAGGGCTCACCTGACTTGCCCGCCCGCCCTCCCCCCAGAACTCGCGCTACCAGACATACCAGCGCATGTGGAACTACATGCAGTCCAAGCAGCCCAGCGTGTTCGTCAAGAGCACGGAAGAGGGCATCGCTCGCGTCCTCAACTCCCGCTACGCCTTCCTGCTGGAGTCCACCATGAACGAGTACCACCGGCGCCTCAACTGCAACCTCACCCAGATCGGGGGCCTCCTCGACACCAAGGGCTATGGCATCGGCATGCCGCTGGGTAGGGCAGCAGCGGGGGTGGCATATGGCGGGGACCCTGTTCCAAACACGAGCCGCGTGACCCAGTGGTGATTTTCACCTCTTCACAGGGTCCCTGAGACATGGCGGGATTTCTGTTATCCGAGGGTCTGGCACATAGAAGGTGCCTGAGAAGTGGTCACCACCCTCTCACCCATCTCTCTAATTCCTGGCATGTAGTCGATGCTTAAGTGTCTCAGTGGGGGCCAGCAGGGGGCACGGTGACTAAGGCGCTGGGCTCCCACATGACTGACCATGGTCGAGCCCCACGCCCAGTGGCTTGAAATTCACACCAGTGCACATATGTGTGTGCCCCAAATCCCAGGAGGGGACCGGAGCAGAAGGGACTGCGGTGTGGCCATCCCCCGGGGGATGATTTCTCACTTTCCCTTTGTCGCTCTCTATCTCTCACTGGTGAACGCACATACCCTAAAGTACAGGGTGTTTGGGGCTCAAGGATTATTCAAGGGGACCTGAGGTGGGGTGGAAAGAGAAGGTCCAGAGGATGGGGGCAGGTAGGAATCTGTTCACTGAGTGGGTCCATCTGGTGCCCGGCCCTGAGCCAGGGTCCACCCTGGACGCAGGGACACCACAGAGGGGCAGCTGCCAGGCCCAGCCCTCCTGCCCCCTGCTGGGGGTTGCAGACCGCAGAGCCGACCCTGGTGTCAGGCCTGACGTTGCCTGAAGTAAACGAAGGGGAAGAGGCTGGCGGGCCTGCTGGGGCCGCCTTAACACAGGCGCCAGGGCGACTCCTGAGGAGCTGGCGTGAGAGCCGAGACCTGAATGGAGTGAGGGAAGGAACATTCCAGGCTAGAGCAAAGGTCCCAGGACAGGACCGTGCTGGGTGGGTTCTGGGAACAGCTAGGAGCCATCGTGACGAGCTGAGAGGGCTGCAGGGCCAGGGGGGTCCGAGGACAGCGGGGCCAGTGAGCACAGGATCTTGAAGGCCAAGGGAAGGCCCTCATCCTGGCAGCAGCAGGAAGCCGCTGGAGTGTTGGAAGCGCAGGAGGAGGAGACCTGGACTCAGACTGTTCCTGAAACTGTCCCTTCAACTGCCCTGGGGAGACTGGGTGGGCTCAGGAGGCACCTGTGGAGCAGCAAGGGGAGGCCGTGGTGAGGCGTGATTTGGGGTGTGGTGGGCAGCCCTCCAGGGCCCAGTGCCATCCGCCCCCTCGTGTGCCCGCTGCAGGCTCCCCATTCCGGGACGAGATCACACTGGCCATCCTGCAGCTTCAGGAGAACAACCGGCTGGAGATCCTGAAGCGCAAGTGGTGGGAGGGGGGCCGGTGCCCCAAGGAGGAGGACCACCGTGCTAAAGGTCAGCCACCCCTCACATGGCATGCCCTGTCAAGAACCCCCAGCCCCATGACCACAGCCCCGACCCCATGGCTCTCCCCCCCTGCAGGCTTGGGGATGGAGAACATTGGTGGCATTTTCGTTGTGCTCATCTGTGGCCTAATCATTGCTGTCTTCGTGGCGGTCATGGAGTTCATCTGGTCCACGCGGAGGTCAGCAGAATCTGAAGAGGTGAGGAGGCTGGCGAAGGGAGGGAGTGTGGAGGCACTGGAGCCGTAACTGGTGGGCCTGGGGGCCTGGGGAGGTGTGAGGGGAGCTAAGAGGCTCCAGGGGGAAAGAAGAGGTGAGAGGGCAGATGGGGTGGGAGACAGGAAGCCCAGGTGGGGAACAAGGGCCCTGGAAGCAACAAAGATGCAGGGGAAAGGAGGTGAGGGGGTGCAGAGAGAGCGGGGTGGGGAGCCACAGAGGTAGTAGTAAACTGAGAAGAAACAGGTGATGAGGAAGCTGCCAGGTGGCTAGGGGACAGTGAGGGCTTGCTGGCCATGCTCACGCTGCGGGTAGGACCGCCACTTCCGGGCCCTTGGTGCTGCCCGGTGACGCCATTTCCAGACCAGCCGCTCCAGGCCCCTAGACTGCCCGTCTCCCCACACCGTCTCTGCACCATCTCCAGCCTTTTGCATGTATTCCTGAGCCCCACCTCCGCACCTCTAGCTGCCTGCCATGTTCTCTACGTGGCCGTCGCCTCTGAAGGAGCCCTCCACCTCTGCCCAGGTCGCCTCCTCCCTCTCCTTCCCAAGGACACCCCTGCAGCAGCTCTCTCCTGTCCTCCTCTCAATTGGACCGCGCCTGTCGGCATACACTGCTGTTTCTCCTGCGGAAAGAAGCCTTCCCCTGCCGCTTCTCCCAGCCACCACCTGCTTTCTCCCCTTCCCTTTGCAGCCTTGTGAGAGTTCCCCTCCTGCTGTTTCTGGATTTTCTTCTCCGGTTCACTCTCGGACCCACTCCAACCTTGCTTGTCCCCACTAGCCCACTGACCTCTCTTGTCACCAGCAACCTCCACGTCTACGATTCAGGGCCTGAGTCGCAGGCCTGGTCTCTGTGAGGGGCCAGCAGGCTTCAGTGCAGCTAATCACTGTCCTTCCTCCTTCCTCCAACCCTTCCCTCTCTGCCCTCTCCTACCTTCCTCCTACCTCTCTGGTCACTCCTTCCTAGGCTTTTTTTTTTTTTTATTAAAGAGAGAGAGCTTTTTTGCTATAGGGTGTGTGTACCCAACAGAGAGAGAGAAAAATCACCCACCTGGGCATACCACAATCCTTTTGCCTCTATTCTCCTTTTAGGATTTTGTGCCCAGTGTGAGTTTCAAGCCACTAGGTCTGGGACTCAAACCGCTGTTGGCCATGTGAGAGTTCAGTTCCTTAACCACTATGCCACCTGCGGGCCCCTTTCCCAGGCACCATTATCAGAGCTCCTCTTTCTCTCCAACTCCCATTTGTTGGGGGGTTCTGGGTCCTTGGATGACTCCTCTTCTCTGCTTCCTTGACGATCTCATCTGGCAAATGGCTTTAAGACCTCTATGGGCTGGTGACGGCTGGTGACTCCTAGACTGTCACTCTACCTAAGCAGTTTCATCCTGGAGCCTCTGGGGAGGTCATGGTCATGACGTTGGCTGGGACCACTGTGGTCTGCAGGCTCTCCTCGGGCTGGAGGAGCTGCCTGTCAGATGGCTCACTGTCCCCAAAGTACCCATGGGGTTTTAATTTATGGAGGTGACCAGAAGTAGAGAGGCCAATGCCGTTGGAGGATGATTTTTAGTATATTCCTGAGACGAGGGGCCACACTTGCCATGTCATGCAGAGCCACAGGTCTGGTCAGGGGCTAGCAGCAGAAGTGACAGGAAAGCCTGGGCCACACGCTTTCTTGGGGTTTCTACAAGAAAGACAAGGCAGGAGAGTAAGCAACGAGGGCTGGCCAGTTTGAGTAACGGTGGCCTCTGGGATGACTGCCCCCCAGGAGGGGTACCATCAGCCTGCGTGTGGGAGTTAGTGAAGGGGGTAAAGACACTATATTGTTCGGTCTGAGTGACTAAGGTGTAAGCTCTAAGAACAGCTCTGGGGGAGACAGTCTTTCCTCAGCTTGCAATATTTTGAAGATGTCAGAACATCCGAAGACGCAGAAAACAAAGACCACACTGAGTGTACTCACGTGGCAGTTGGCAGGAGGCCTCAGCTCCTCACACAGAGATCTTTCCGCACAGCTGCTTGAGTGTCCTCATGCCATGGCAGCTGCCGTCCCCCAGAGCTGGTGATCTGGGAGGAAGTGAGACACAGGTCTGAATGCCAGATGTCTGACAGGCCCAGCCATGTTCTGTTATTCCCACATACTATGTTGCCATGTCAGAGGGGGGATCAAGCCTCCTCTGGACCTCCTGGCATACCGACACCTGGGGTGGTCACTGTCCGCCCACTGCCCCCGGGTGTCAGTGTGCCAAGAGTGTAAGATGAGACCCTGGAGGCTGCCTGCCTAGTCCCCGAGCCCCCCAGTGTGTAGTTCAGCTCCCACCCAGCATGTCCACAAGGATGCGTGACAGGTATGCCCATCATGCTCTGTGTCCAGCACTGAGGCCCAGCCTCCCAGCAGGCATGGCCACCCTGCCAGTGGCTCAGGCCGGCAGTTATAGTCGTCCTTCACTCCTCCCTTCCTCATGACCCTACTCCGGCTTCACCTTCACCTGTGGCTTCACCTTCAAATATTTCCAGAATCCAGGTCCTTCTCACGGACTCTGGTCCAGCCTTCGCCATCTCTTGCCAGGTTACAGTACCTGCTCTGGCCCGCGGCCTCGCTGCAGTCTGTCCTCCATCGCAGCTCAGCTCCAGAGTGACCCTGTGAAACGGCAGTCCTCTCCTAGAAGGCTCCAGGCTGTGGGCCTTGGCCCAGTCAGTCCCTCTGCACTTCCGACCTCACCTCCTCCCTCCCGCCCCCTCGCACCCATATCTCAGCCACCCGATCCATGCTTCTGTTCCTCCACCTTGCCAAGGGGCTCCCACCTCCACCCTTGCCCTGCTCTGCTGTCCACCCAAATGCCCTCCACCCAGGTCTCCACAGGCCCTCCTCCCAGCGAGGTTGCCCTTGACTGTCCCATCTCAAACTCGCATTAACTCCCCACCTGCACCCCTGCCTCTCTTCCTGTTTTATTTTCCTCCAGGGCACTCGTCACCATTTAACATGCTACATGCATCCACATGTGTGTGTCTGTCTCCACACACTTGAACACAACCTCCAGGACGGCTGGGGCTTCGGTTCTGTTCTCTGCTGTACCCCAGTGCCCAGAGAGCCTGGCCCACGGCAGGGTTCAGGAAATACGCCCTGGGATAACTGCATGAATGGGGCCAGAAGATGGGAAACCAGTAGGCGGAGAGGACTAGAGGCCTTCAGAAAACAGTGCAGAGACAGGCAGGAGAGGAGCCTAGATAGGACGTGAGGGGCAGAGCCAGGAAGAACGGGGAGACGGGAGACGAACGAGTGGAGGGGCGAGACAGAAAGCCGGGGAGAGGGTAGAAGGCAGGAAGAGAGGAGGTGAGAAGAGGAGGGAGGTGTGAAGACGGGAAAGGGGAGGGGGGAGTGTGCACAGGTGCTCTGGCGGCGGGTGGCGCGGACAGGACAGCGCCAGGACGGTCTGGAAGGCCCCGGCAGTGACCACCCCGCGCCGCCCCCAGGTGTCGGTGTGCCAGGAGATGCTGCAGGAGCTGCGCCACGCCGTGTCTTGCCGCAAGACGTCGCGTTCCCGCCGGCGCCGGCGCCCGGGCGGCCCGAGCCGGGCCCTGCTGTCGCTGCGCGCGGTCCGCGAGATGCGCCTCAGCAACGGCAAGCTCTACTCGGCCGGCGC